ACAAAGCCCATCTCTGTCCTCTGTGGAACTTGTGCTTCTGAATCTCCTATGTGCTTTGAAAAAAATCTACTGAATTAAGAGAGAATTTCAGACCAAAACGCAGGAAAGGTATAAAATAAAATGTTGAAAAAAAATCTAGATTCCCCAAAGTTATGGGGGAAACTTGTGAATAATTTGCACAGCTTGCTGCAGATAAATATGCCAAAGACACATTAGATATAAACAAGGTTTTCAGAAACGCCTAAATTCCAGCATGCAAAGGACACTCTAGGTGCTACTCCTGTATGTAAATTAACCTTATCAATTACTGGACTAGGCGATCGTTTAAAAACCTTGCTGCTCAGTCATTTTTGTGGCTTATTTATTTTTAATTTGTACAGATATTTGAGGGGATTGATTGCTATTAAACAGCTCCATTGCATTATTTTAGGGGTAGCTTCATTAGCTTCAGAAGTGAGCATAATTCAAAATCTGCACACGGAGGAGAAAGGTGACCTTCCTGAATGACAAAGAACTTGTGAAGGAACTAAATCTCAGGGTATCAACAATTCAAAATAATTTGAGGACAAGGGTCTCTGTTTTTTTTTTTTTTTTTTTTTAAAAAGGACCTGTAACACAATCTGTATGGCCACTGGGTACCATAGATTTTCAGATGAACCTGTATTAAATTCAATTACGTTTTCATTGAATGAAGGACACATTGGTTTTCACTGGCATTTTCTTTGCATTGGTGAGAACTACAGAAGTAGTAGATGCACCATAAGGCTGAAGTGACTGAGAGGTTTCTTCATACAGAGTAAGAGCCTGATTCATGTGAATGCTCTAGGAATAGACTAGAAAACATGAAGGCCAGAAAGCACCACGATGGTCATTCATGGAACTGCTCTGCTACCTAAGCAGAAGAAAGTAGAAACAACAGGGCTTGAGTCTGGAAATGGAAAAGTGGCCAACTCCTCATGAGGCAATAATCTGTCTCTGCCTCCATCTCACTGGGGCTGCCTCTCTCTGGCTCCACCTCTGTCCTAGCTGGCTCTGGCTTTGTCTGGTCTGTGGATGCTACACCAACATACCTGTGTTGTCATAACTCAGACCGCAAAACCCTATAGGTTTTTTGCACAGGCTAATGGTGCAGCAGAGGATTTTCTGTTGCTGTAGGAACACCCCCAGAGCAATGGTAGCTAGGTCAGCAGAAGCATGCTTCCATTGACCTACATGTGCCCACGCTTGCGGTTAGGTCGATATAGCTACCGGGCTTAAGGGTGGTGGATTTCGCAAATAGTGCATCCCTGTTGACCTGAGTTTTCAGTGTAGATGAGACTTTTGTCTCCATCCCTTCTTCAGGCTTGCAGTCGGCATCCGGCTGAGCTAAGGGAGTGAAGAAAGCTCTGTTGATTGTAGCAGAGCTGTGGGCTGCTGGTCGCATCCTTCATTCTTTTCTAGGATTCATCAGGAGGCACGAACGACCTGCATAGCAGGAAACTCCTGGGGGAGTGTTGTGATTTTTGGGACTCTGTCCGTTCCCAGAGAGTAGTTATCAGCAGTTCACATGTTGGAAGGGCCTGACAAGTCGGGGCCCACAGAGATCAGTTCTGGGTCTGGTTCTGTTCAGTCTCTTCATTGGTCATTTAGATAATGGCATGGAGAGCACACTTTAAAAGTTTGCAGATGATACCAAGCTGGGAGGGGTTGCGAGTATAATTCCAAAATGATCTGGACAAACTGGAGGCCTGGTCTGAGGTAATTAGGATGGAATGATAAGGACAAATGCAAAGTATTCAGCTTAGGAAGCAACAATCAGCTGCACACGTACAAAATGGGAAGGGATGGACAAGGAAGGAATACTGTAGAAGTGGATCTGGGGATCATAGTGAATCACAAGCTAAACGTGAGTCAACAGTGTGACACTGTTGCATGAAAAGCAAACATGATTCTGGTATGTATCATCAGGAGTGTTGTGAGCCAGCCATGAGGAGTAATTCTTCCGCTCTACTCTGTGCTGTTTAGGCCTCACCTGGAGTGTTGTGTCCACTTGTGGACATGACATTTCAGGAATGGTGCGGAGAAATTGGAGAAAGTCCATAGAAAAACAATACAAATGTTTTAAGGTCTAGAAAACATGACCTGTGGGGGTCATGACTGAAATAACTGGGTTTGCTTAGTCTGGACAAGTGAAAACTGAGAGGGAACATTATAGCAGTTTTCAAGTGCATAATAGTTGTAACAAGGAGGGGGGGGAAATTATTCTCCTTGGCCTTTGAGGATAGGACAAGAAGCAATGGACTTAAACTGCAGCAAGGGAGGTTTAGGTTGCAAAAACTTCCTGCCTGTCAGGGTGGTTCAACACTGGAATAAATTGCCTAGGGAGGTTGTGGAATCTCCATGCGATATTTAAAGCAGATTAAACCAACTGCTGTCAGGGACGATCCAGACGGTGCTTGGTCCTGCCACGAGGGCAAGGTACTGGACTAAATGATTCACTAAGTCCCTTCCAGTTCTATGATTCTATGAGATGCAGATGTTATGTGCTGACTACAACCCAGGACTAAAATACACCACAGAGGTCTGGGCTGCATAGGGCTCTTGAGTCCATCCCCACACACCAGAGCCTTCCAGTCCTCCAAATAACCCATTTGTTAAAATAGCGTGAGAGCTGCTAACCAATTAAAAGGCCCATTTGTATGCAGTGTTGTTGTAGCTGTGTGGGTCCTCAGGGTATTAGAGACATAAGGTGGGTGAGGTAATATCTTTTGGCCCAATAAAAAATGTTGCCTCAGCTACCTTTTCTAGCTAAAAGTTCCACTGCCATCGACGTGATAAAATAATTAGGTAGTCATTGCGTTAAGTAATCATTTTTTAAAGATGTGGTTTTCTATCAGCTGGAAAGGGTTAAAGAATTTTGTTTGCCAGTCGGGAACTGTGTTGGGAATTAACCTCCAAGGAAAGGAAAAATCCATTAGGAATGTAACCAGATGGAAAGAAATTAGTGCCAGTCAAATTTACGAGGATTACATTACCGGAACCAGGTCTGAGACTACCAAAATGTCAGGTTTCTTTTTCCTATTTGAGGCTGAATTAAAAGTTCTCACTTCTCTGCCACTGGGCTTGTAAAATCTCAGATCCCTGCCCAGTAAATGTTTAGGTTTATGGCCTTCCCAACATTGCTGTGTAAAAGAACTGGGGCAGAGATGCAGGCGAATGTGAAAACTTGTAAAAAAGAAAGAGGCTAATTAGAGAAAATAGACTTAATTTAGAAGCCGCAGGTGCCTTTTATGAGCTTTTGCCCACTGTAAATTTATACAGGCACTGAATAAACTGTGGATCTGTTCACTGTGGCCTGCCCTGAATGGGGAACTTTGAACGCTATTCTGTTTATAGCAAGAAGCCCATATGATGTCATGTAACTAACAAACCCTACGGAATTCCATTTCGGCTGTGCAAAAGTGTGGCATCGAAATCATTTTTTTTCCTTGATCTATATAAAATTGTACTTACTGGTCTGTTAAGAGACTTTATGGATCCATCACTTTTGTTTTAAGGCAGCATGTTAGGAATATCTTCCTTTCTTTTCCCTTCCCTTCCCTTTGCTGCATAAAACTAAATTATGACTTTGTTGGCACTACAGAGATTTGGTGGTGTAAGTCTCGTGAATGGGATACTAGTGCAATGTTCAGCAAGGATTGGTAGGAAAGAGATGTTGCACTGAACACGCAAGCTGGTTCTGAGGTCCAAAAGGAGGTGAGGGACAGATTGGTTGAAAGTCTGTTGTGCAGAAGAAAGATGGAAACATCATGGCTGGTTCTTTAGACCATCAGATCGGGATGAAGTGGAGATGAGATGTGTTTTGCATATATTTTTATTTCTAGGCACAAGGCCTTGTAATGATGAGAGACTTTAATGATCCAGACATCTGTTGGAAAAGACAGACAGCAAAACACACTATTTCTAATGAGGTCTTGGAATGTTTTGGGGACAGCTTTCCATTTCCAAAAGTGGAGGTAGTAACCCAAGGGGCAGCCATTTTAGGTTTGTTTCTGATTAACAGGGAGGAATTTGCAATCAATTTGGATGTGGAAGGCAGTTTGGATGAAAAAGAGCACTCAATGGTCGCTGTCGTGATTCCTAATGAAAAGTAGGAACAAGAGCATCAGAATAAAACAATGGACTTGTGTAGGTAAGGACCCATGATAGAATCTAAGGGGAAAAATAGTTTGGGAGAACTGGCAGTTTCCTAGGGAGACAGTATTTAAGGCACAGCTGCCAACATCCCCATGTGAAAGAAGGATGGATCTCTTGCTATTATTCCTAGACGGCATTGAATAACCTGAAAATCAATCCAAAAGGAACCCTACAAAACATGGAAACAGCCAAATTGGTAAAGATGAGTAAAAAGCAGTAGCACAAGCATGGGACAAAATGAGGAAGGCTAAGGCACAAAATGCATGGCACTTAGCAAGGGTAATAAGAAGAAAGCCTTTAAATATATTAACAGCAGGAGAAAGATGAATCGCTTAGGTCTGCTTTGTGGGAAGTTGAGCAGATAACTGATGACATCAAGAACGCAGAGGTGTTTAACCATTTGCTTTTGTCTTCACTAAAGGTGACCAGCTACCTAACACAATTAATACGAGCAACACAGGGGAAAGAATGCAAACCAAAATAAGGAAAGAACAGCTTAAAGAATATTAAAGTTAGGATGAATATCATCAGGCCCTGCTGACTTTGCTTGAGCTAAGTATCTTAGATGTATTCATCTTGCAATAGCTAGCCATTATCTTTGAGAACTGCTGGAGGATGGCTGAGCTTCCAGAGGACCAGGGAAAGGCAAACAGTCTTTATCTGTGAAAAGGGGAGCGAAAAGGAAATTAAATCCTAACTTTGATCTCTGGAAAGAGGCAGGAGCATACAATCCATTGGTAAGAACAGTGATGAATAAGGAATAGCCAGTAGTGATTTACCAAAAACAAGTCATGTCTAACCAGTCTCATTTCCTTCTTTGACAGGGTTACTGGTCTCGTGAACAGAGGGGAAGCAGTAATGATGATATATCTGGAATTTCGAAAGATATTTGACATGGTCCCACATAAGCAAACGAGGGAAAACAACAAAAATGATAACGTTTAGAAAACTGGCTGTATAAGGAAAGGTTAACAAACCTGGACGTGTACTCTAGATAAAATTATGACAAGGTGAGTGTTCAGCTGGTTTAAAGACCGTACTCCGGGTAGTGATCAATGATTTACTGTCAGACTGGGAGGATCTGTCTAGCTGGTTCCTACGGGATCAGTCCTGGGTCCGTACTATTCAATATTTTCATTAATGACTTCGGCAATGGAGCAGAGAGTGTGTTTAAAAGTTTGCGGATGACTCTAAGGTGTGAGGGACTGGAAGAGCCGTAGAGGGCAGGACTAGAATTAAAAAAGACCATGACAATTGGTCTGAAATCCGCAAGAGGAAATTCAGTACAGACAAAGGCGATTTACTTCACCGAAGGAGGACAAAGCAAATGCAAAACTACAAATGGCAAGGGGCAGCATGGCTGGAAGGGACTGGGGGTTGTTAGTGGACCACAAGCTGAAGATGAGCCAACCATGTGATGCATTTGTGAGGATGGCGTACATGATTCTGAGGTGTTTTAACAGGAGGGCTGCATGAGGCGTATGGGAGTTGACAGTTCCAATCTATTTGGTACTGGAGAGGTCTCTTCTGGAGAAAAGTGTCCAATTCCAGGTGAAACACTCTGGGAAAGATGTGGACAAACTGGAGAAGGCTCAGGAGAGCTCAACAAAAATGGGGGGGAAAAGGTTTAGAAAAGCATCTGCATGAGGAAAGGTTAATAAACCCAGACGTGTTTAGTCTGGAGGAAGGTAGCAGAGTCTGTGACACTGTCAGCCCAGAGCATGCAAAACTCATGAGTCAAACCTCAAAACCCGCCACCAGACTGCTTTAAAATAATCAATGGTGGGTTCTTTTTAGTTGCATTCTGATGTCTAAACCTTCTAGAGTGTGCACTGGGGGGGTCATGTTTCCAGCTTTTCTTTGCAACCATGAGGACTTGGAGCTTACTGTTTCAAAAAATGAAAGGGGTGATTGTTTATCTCTTCCCCTGATTCCAGGTGCTGGGACTTTAAGCGAAACACCAAATAGCAAAAGGCTCACAATAAAATCAAGAGAATAAATAAATTCCAGGCAACACTGTGTCTAGAAGTGTCCAGCTGTCTGGACTCAACAGCAACAAGAGACTTATCAATTGAAACTTCATTTTTCATGGAACAGCTCAACCAGAGAAAAGGAGACTCTGGCATTCAAATCTGTTTGATCAGTGCTGGCAGAGTTGGTTCTTCTGCCTATCTGGCAGCTCCGGAGAAAATTTATCTCCACTTTCTGGGGAACAGTTTCCCTAGGTTGCAAGTGTTCTTATATTTTGTAGCTGGGAAGGAATCAAGAATAAGGAGGTTACAGAAATTGGTCTGTGCATGTTTAAGGACAAGGGACTGACATCAGGGCTGTGTAATCAGCATCCCTTCCTGTGCATGAGGATGGCAAAATGTGGAACTCCGTAAGAGAGCAAGTACAGGTGAAGCGGAATGCTAGGGGGGCTATGAACTTGAATTGAGACTTTAGGCCAGACTCCCTCACTAGTGGGAGATTCTGTGCTAGGGCCTGGACATCAAAGTATCTCCCCCCTCATTTGCCATCTTCACCTTTTTTTTTGTCCAAGACTACTTTGGCCTTTCAGCCACTTGCTGGTCTTGACTGGGCTGAGCTAGTTGGCTCTGCCACATTCAGCCCTGCAAGAGAGACACACACACACAGCTGGGCACTGCCTACATAGTGGCATTTGTGACCAGGAAGTCATGTTCCTTCCCCACCGTCCTGCCCCATTGTCCTCAGATGGATGCCGAACAGCACTGAACACTGGACAAAGATCAACCCATCCTAAAAACCCATGTAAGAACCTAAATCGAATAGAGAGAGCTAGTAATAGGAGTACAGACGTCCTTCTCCAATCTGTAGAGAAGAGTAGGACATCTGTGAATAGGAGCACCAAACCCATTCCATATACTGGCATGAAACCTGACTTCCAGGGGTCATCTCTCTTCTCTCTTCGTATTCTAGGACCAACTGCCTTGGTTCTATTTTCTGGCCCAGGAAACACATCCTTTACTTCTCACTTTTTTCAGCAGCGTGGCCATGAGTAAGGTGGAGAAAACAGAAATGGTGGGACCCTGGCTACTGCTTAATTAAAAGGGTGACTGGGAGCAGAGGTTTCCAACAAGGAATTTCAAAACTTAATTGACAAATCAAATGTACTGGCTGAGAGCAGCTCCCCTCCCCTTTAATCACAACCTTAATAGCGGCTCACTAACTTTACATGACATCTCTCTTCTACCTTCGAAGATAATTGTGCTGTTTTGCAAAGATGTGCAGGAAGGATTACGCTGCTTAGCAAAAAAGGCATAGAGTGCCATGTGGCATCGCTAAGTATTCCGCACTACGAAAGAGCAGAAGCAGAATCCTATTGATCATATACAGTGAATCAATTATTTCTCCTCCAACCAAGAGTGGAAAATAATTACTCAGAGAGGTTACACTGTGACCTCAGAGAGCATGGTAATATTGCAGCTTTTGGCACTAGGTTCTCTGTTTCATTTATTGTCAAACTGCTCCCCCTGAGGTCACAGTCATTCACTCTTGATTTACGAGACACCATTATTTGCTCACTTTGGCTGTTTAACACATCATCATTCCACTAGCGGTGCAGTGAGATAGGCCTCAAGCATAAGGTTCAGCATTACATGACCTTTAAACATTACGGGCTGGAGTCTAACAAACCAAAGTCATTTTCTAGTTTGGTGTTTCCCATAGGCAACGTCTACATTGCAGCAGACGGTTGAATGAAGACATGTAACTCCAGCTGCGTTAATTACGGAGCCGGAGTAGACTTATTATAGTCAAGTTAGACTGTCCACAAAGTGGGAGGCCGATGGGAACAAAAGCTCCCATTGGCTTCCTTTACTCCTCATGAGGAGCAGGAGTACCACCTAAGGATGCTAAATATCGGTTAATTGACAGTCGAGAAGTCGATGGACTTTCCGTCAGCTACTCGACTAGTCGATAGGCACTTCCGCATTCCTCCTTTGAAATGTATGAGAGGCCCTGCTGGGGCTCTTGTGCATTTCAAAGCCGCAGCGCAGCATGGATCCCAGGGTCAGCAGGGGACTCCATGTTGTGCTGCAGATTTGAAATGCCATGCAGAGCCGGGGACAGCTGGGGATTCCCCAGCTGATCCCGGGCTCCCCATGGCATTTCAGAGGAACTTGGGATGACCCTGGGTTCTGCATAGCATTTCCCCAGTCCCCAGCTGACCCCAGGCTCCACAATGCCATTTGAAACGCCACCTTGGTGTTTCAAAGGGGCAGCGCCACTCAGCTGAGTCTGGACTAAGATGTGCAGGGCTGCCCCTTTAGACGTGGATCAGCTGTGCAGCGGTGCCCTTTGAACGCCGCCTCCGCCTTTTAACAGGGCAGCCCCTCATAGCTGAACCAGGGCTCAGCTGTGTGGCGCTACCCCTTTGAAGTACCCCTCCCTCCCCTTCACTGCCTCTAATAGAGGCAGCAAGGGCCGGGGGAATTCACTAGCTGACTGACTACTCGACTAGTCCTTAACATCCTTAGTAACAGGGACACCCTCTGAGTTCAATTTAGCAGGTCTTCAGCAGACCCGCTAAACTGAACCCCAGAAGATCAACCACGGCAGTGTTGATCTTCTGTGTAGTGATGATGTGGCCATAGAGATTGGCTTGGATTTCACTATAGCTGGGTTGGATACTATCAAAGCTTCCTAAAGAGCTGGCATGTTTAAATCGTGGCTTCGAGAAAGTTCAGTTTGAACTTTATAGGCAGACTTCAGATCTGAATCCAGGAGAAGGTTTTAGGGCTGGCTTTCCACTCCCAACCAAGAGCTTCGATGAAATCTAATGTTTTCTTGGTCATCATGAGGGTTTGAATCAGCTTGCTGCTGAGTTCCACACCCCACTCTCGTCAGTTTAAGCTAAAGGGATGGGATTTCAGGCTGGCATGTGTAATAGCCGGGCTTTTGCTTAGCATCCCCTTCATAGTGGGTTATACCAACATTTCAGAACTCCCCAGGATGCATCGTGCCAAGGAGATACCAGTCTCCTGAGGGACTGGAGGCCCATTTCTAGTTTTAATCTGTCTAGCTAGCTCTGTGCCTGTGGCCAAAGCAGGGATGGAACACATTCTGCGGTGGAGTTTGTGTGGCTAGCAGCAATGCCCGACACTTGGGTTTTAGGTCACAGAGATTGAGGCAGGCCCTCACCCCCTGTATCTGGTTTTGAGTGTCAGAGCCATTGTGAATTCTAGAATGTGAAATGCTCCTTTTCCCAAGTCTGACATCCATTCAGGTAGCTTTAGAGAAAACCTTGACACTGTCAATAGCCGGAATAAGAACATAAGAATGGCCACACTGGGTCAGACCAAAGGTCCATCTAGCCCAGTAGCCTGTCTGCCGACAGTGGCCAGTACCAGGTGTCCAAGAGGGGGTGGACCGAAGACAATGATCAAGCAATTTGTCTCTTGCCATCTCTCTCCAGCCGTTGACCAAACAGAGGCCACGGGCACCATTCCTTGCCCCCTGGCTAATAGCCCTTTATGGACCTAATCTCCATGAATTTATCTAGCTCTTTTTTAAACTCTGTTATAGTCCTAGCCTTCACAGCCTCCTCTGGCAAGGAGTTCCACAAGTTGGCTATGCGCTGTGTGAAGAAGAACTTTCTTTTATTAGTTTTAAACCTGTTACCCATTAATTTCATTTGGTGTCCTCTAGTTCTTATATTATGGGAACAAGTAAATAACTTTTTCTTTATTCACCCTCTCCACACCACTCATGATTTTATAGACCTCTATCATAGCTCCCCTTGGTCTCCTCTTTTCTAAACTGAAAAGTCCCAGTCTCTTTAGTCTCTTCTCATATGGGACCCGTTCCAAACCCCTAATCACTTTGTTTGCTCTTTTCTAATGCCAAAGTATCTTTTTTGAGGTGAAGAGACCACATCTGTACGCAGGACTCAAGATGTGGGCGTACCATAGTTTTATACAGGGGCAGTAAGATATTCTTCGATTTATTTTCTATCCCTTTTTAAATAATTCGTAGCATC